TTGATGATTTAATCCAAAATAATAACAATCAATTTGTTATTAACTCTAAATTATTTAAAGAAATAAAAACCCTATCTGAGAATCTTCAAACAGTTATTTCAAATCAAGAATTTCCATTCAGAAAACACCGTCTTCGCTTGCTCACTTACGATCTGATGAGTTTAATGGATACAATTACATTAGCAAAAATAGATGTTTTCAACACTAAAATTCTAAACGCTGAAGAAATCCCAGAAATATATAAACACGAACAGAAACCTGTAGTAATTACTGACATATTAGATATATAAAAATTTAAAATCGCCATACACCAAGAATTAATTGTAATATATATAAAATACCCCATCATAACAAACCGTTGCGAAGTAAATAACGCAAGATCCATCTCACACAATGATGGAAAACTATTAATTGATAATCATGTCGCCAAATGTAACAATAGGTACTATGTAATTTCTAATTTTAAGACAGAAATATTTAATAATTATGGCACTTGAAGCCCAGAAAGTACTTGTTTCACCAGGCTACTAAATGGAGAAAAATCCCTTTGTAATAAAATCAGGGAATATAATAAAAAAATTGATGTAATCCAAGAAGGAGCCATTTTTATAAATGGTTATAATACTGTTAATGATACTCATTTAAATGGGTCATTTTTAATTACTTTTAATAGTACTACTACTATAAATAATATATCCTACTCTTATCTCGACCATAAGATAATAGAATATATCACTGCTAAACAGTATAATGAATTTTTAGTATCCGAATATCTTATGTCAAATGATTCGGAACTTTCATTCGATAACATTAACATATTAAACCCATTTATTCAAATTAAACAAACTCAAGTCCCAATAACATTTATACTGATCATGTTAATTTTAATATACGTAATTATCACGCTTGTATTTAAATTCAAAAAATATCTAATATTCAAACCACGGCAAATTCATATTGATATAACCCCCGAAAATAATATGTCCGAAAATGAAAATACCACTGAGGATCAAATTATAGTCGAATTGACAAATCATCTAAATTCAGTTTATCCGACACTTCCAATGAATCGGGACGATTCAATTTAGAAGGGGGAGAGTTATCCAGCTCATGATCCCAGCCTCTTTACCCAATTTATAAACAAACTCTTCATATACAATTCTTAGCTGAGAACGCTTTCCAGCTCGAGCGCCCATCCGCCTTACACAAGTCGTAAACAATTTCTTATAAACTTTTTAGCTGGGATCCCCTTACTCAGCGTTCCCACAGAATCTTGGACTCTCTTGAGTCCAACCCTTGTCCAACTCTTAATGAGTTCCCCAATTCTCTTAAGCCGAGGTTTGATTATCAGATAAGCGGCCCTTGGCCAGCAGTCCGTTTTTGCATCCGAGAAGATCGGTTGTATAAGAAGTTAATTGTAAACCGCCAAGAATAAAAGTCGATACTAAGGAAATGTTGTGAAGTTTAAACTTAGTGAATAAAAAATAAAAATAAATTTTTTTAAATAATTCACGTGAAGTTATTAATTTGCATGTGTCCCTTTTATTGCGGTCAGGTAATTGACATGTGCGCATGTTCTGGTAGCTCTTGCTTGAATCCCTTTTGTGACATGTTTATGACCCATTTGTGGAAAGGAGAGAATCTTGAACAATTTACCAGTTAAACGTTCTGGGGCGGAAACAAAAATGTGTATTTGAATATATTCCACATCTGAGAATCATTAACTTGTGAGATTTATTTTATTGGGGTTCTTTTGATTTCTAAATTAGTTTTACAATCATAGGATACATTATTCCCCAACATGATCGGACATGTTCCTCTAAGATAACCATCTTTGAATACTTTGGGTGTGCGACCTTTCACACGTGCACAGCAACACCTGTGATAATGATGCAAAAGGGTACGTGATCACACCTTTCCCCAACATGATCGGAAATGTTCCTCTAAGATAACAACCTTTGGATACTATGGTTGTGCGACCTTTCTCACGTACACGTTTTTCACCTGACTTTTAATTGCACATAATGAGGGGAAGGATACATGATCAATATTGTCACATGGGGATGTGGGGGCGATGGGGGCAATTAATTTTACTCTTTATAGACATGATCGTGACATTTTTATGACTTCAAAGCCCATTAAAATCAGTTAATTTATTGGACTATGCTAATTGTCCCAGAACCCGCATACGTTAATGATGGGGGAGGGGGCCATTAATATGGTAATTGTCCCAGAACCCATCTTTCCCTACTACTTCCAGCAGGCTGGCTCGCTCCTTTTGTTCTGTGTGCCAAAATCTTTATGCAAGAGATTTGGCTTCAGGATCTAGGTTGGGACAATAAAGTCCCAGTTGAGCTGTGCGCGTAGAGCATCACGGATTCTGTGACGCCTCGCAAGAGGCATACAGAGCTGCGATCTATGTGCGCGTAGAGGTGGGCCATAAGACGATGGTGCACTTGCTCACGGCCAAGACGCATGTGGCGCCAGTCAAAACGGTGTCCCTTCCCAGGCTGGAGTTATGTAGGGCTCTCCTTTTGTCCGAGATGGCCGAAGCCATTCTTCCTAATATGCCGAAGCTGACCTCAAAACTCCATTGTTGGCCCGATCCCACGATTGTGCTAGCATGGTTAGCCAAACCAGCGTGTCATTGGACAACGTTCGTTGCCAACAGGGAGACGAAGATCACCAAGTCCACAGAGGCAGCCAATTGGTCACACGTTCAATCCGAACACAATCCAGCTGATTTGGCTAGTCGAGGAGTTCCCCTTCAAGAGCTTGTGGATAACCCGTTTTGGTGGCATGGACCCACTTGGTTGCAACGTCCACGCGATCATTGGCCCAGCCTGGAAACCGACCTGACGGTTACCGAGATCGAAATGCGTGCCGTCCAAGCCCATGTGGCATCTATGCCGACAGAAGACTTCCTGGATTGCTTTTCCAAATTAGATTAGTTCGATTCCCTCCCTGAACGCCTTTCCAGACAAGAAAGGGCTAATCCGGGCATGCGGCTGCGTAATGGCCTCCGACAGTTTGCGGTATGATGAACGACATCATATAATCCAACCATACGAATGTGCACTCTCGCGGCTTCTAGTAAAATTTACGCATCTCATTTCATTACATGGTGGTAATCAGTTAGTGGTGCGTCTCACCCGGTTTAGATACTGGGTTCCGAGAACAAAGAACTTGGTGAAGGCAGTGGTTAACTCCTGCAAGGTCTGCGTTATCCACAAAAAGAGATTGCAAGCTCAGATGATGGGAAGTTTTCCGAAAGAGCGAGTGCATTTTTCCTGTCCGTTCACGTACATTGGGATGGATATACAAAATTATACCGGAAGAGCTTGTCTCATTACAAAAGGGTATGTGTTGTTTTTCGATTGTTTTTCTATTAAGGCCATCTATCTAGAGCCTACACCCGACTTAACGACTGATAAGTTTCTTGCCGACTTCGCTCGTTTCGTTTCTAGAAAAGGGTGTCCTCGTCAATTCCAGTCCGACAATGGAAAGACCTTCGTCGGCGCTTCCACCGTGCTTTCCAGAGACTTCCTGCAAGCCGTTAAAGAGTCTGTGACCGATGCGTATAGTCAATAGCAGCTCACCTGGTAATTCATTCCTCCTGGGGCACCCCATATGGGCAGCCTATGGGATGCTAGTGTCAAGAGCTTCAAGACCTTGTTTTACAAGTCCACCGCTACACGGAAGTGCACCTTTGAACAGTTGTCCGCCCTCCTAGCGAGAATCGAAGCCTGTCTGAATTCCAGACCGCTATATCCCATGCCCGAGGATCCAACTGATCTCTTAGCGTTGACACCAGGGCACCTTCCTGTTGGTGGACCTCTTCTATCCATAGTGGAACCTGAAGTAAAGGGCGAATTGGATAGCGCTCAGGCATTGGATAGCAGACGTACGAGATGCAATCCTACCGATGCAGAGTCTGCCGCGGAATCCATCCTCTTCGGAAGTGTCAGAGGTTCCTAAAGCTGAGCGCAGAGAAGCGGCTGCGGGCAGTTCTTAGTTCTGTGCAAACTGTCTCCCACGCGAGCACTGCACTGGGAGCTGTCGTAGCGGTGACCGGTGCAGAACGTGCGACCAGAACCATCACACGCTGCTCCAGCCACCATTTTCAATCCTGGGCGCGGACGTCTGCCCGAAGGTGATACAGCAGGGCTTCCACATGCTCGACGAGGGACTGCCAGTAGCCCAGAAGACGGTGTTCGGCGAGTCTGGACCCCGGCCCCACTATCCAACTGCACCGGTCTCTCGCCCTCCCCCTCTCTCGCTCTCCCCCTCTCTCGCTCTCCCCCTCTCTCGCTCTCCCTCTCTGTTCCCAGCTCCCCTCCGTGAAGTATCCGCTGCGCTTTGGAGCGTGGAACTCAGCTTAGACTTAAGCAGTTCGATTTTGGCATTCGCCTAATTTGTTAAGTGAACATCAAGTCTCATTTCTTTCGGTCAACGGGGCACTTCGCGTATCGAGTGGTATTCTCCCCTACAGCTTAGACGCCAGCCGCACCAGCAGCAAACCGCCCAGCGCAGCAGCCCGCCGACGCCGCCAGTTCCCGCCGCCGCCTCCCACGCCATTCTACCAGCGCCGACGGTACCCCGCTACCCTCCCGGCGTACAATATCTTCTGGATTTGGAGTGCGTGAATATGATCTTTATTGCTAATCCGAATTTCTCGTCTGAGCTGAGCATTAGTTTTTTTTTTAATTTATTGGGTTGGACAGGGACATTTGTCTATTGAATGCTCTCCAGGCTGGATTTTTGCTGACTTTTAAGTCGTCTACGTTTTTATTTCACCATGGAACGTTGTATTGACTTTTTGGAGGGTGGGTTTGGGGAATACTATAATAGGCGCTATTATACCCCCTTCCCATACAGTCCATTCGTTAGAAACGGTTGGGATTTTTGACAAATGTGAAACTCCGATTCCCACAGGGCACATCCAACATCTACCATCCGACAACATCTGTCAGTTCAGCTGTGCCTAATAAAAACACAAGCAAAAATTGTTAAAGTGGATTTTGCCAGACCAAAATGAACAATTTACCAATTATTTTGGCTGTTGTACAACAGCAAAATCTTAAGTTGAACCAGCTTTTATTGGCAGCCAATTCAGAGGAGTGGAATGACGACGAATTGGATTTGTACGAAAGCATTTTTTCTGCAAAAGAGCAAATGCCACGAAGTGTGTGGATGCTGGTACGTGCTCTTAAAATGTTTTAAAAATACGATTAAAGAGTGCGAATTATATTAAACAGAATCGATACGGGACATTTTGGGAAAAGGATATACCGGAAAACAACGACGAGTTCTTCAAAGAGAGCTTTCGTATGGAGAAGAGGACCTTTTCGTTTTTGGTGGACCGACTTGGTGTTTTGCGGAAGAAGGACACCAACTGGCGAAATGCCATTCCTCTTGAAAAGCGGATCGCTATAGCCTTGTACACCTTGGGATCATCAGCGGAATATCTTTCCATCGGAAGGCTTTTTGGAGTTGCACAGAACACTGCTGCATTTTGCACAACATTTTAAATGAGCACAACAGCGCTATAAATGAAACTTGGCAACAGGCTGCAAATGACCTACGCGAACAACCAAATCGGACTAATATGTCTGCTGATTTTAGCCAACTTGCAGAAAAAATAAGAGCAGCAATTTCCCAATATTGTCTAAATGGTAACAAATAAAGTTCATAAAATATAAATCTGTTTGTTTTTTTATTTAATTATAATATCACATTTCATTTTGGTCTATTTATTATAAATTATAAGTTTATTAGGAATTCGTTGATTTTCTTAACAGCTCCAACAAATCAGATTGGAATTTTGCCTGGCTGTCTGCCATCCTCGACAATATTTCCGTCTGCGCTCTCTGCTCCTCCAGTCTTTCTCGAGCTATCTCCACAAGCTCCGACTTATGGTCCACCTTTGCGCGCTTAGCAGGGGGCGCAGTGCTGTCTGCGCGTTGACTGCCGCTGCTGGTAGAGGCTTCCCTGTCATCTGGGTCCAAGAGCTCCACAAAGTATTCCCTAGTATGTGCAATAAATACATTTTTTTAGATAATTTTAAACCAAAAATATAAGTGTGGGGACATACTCTCGTTCTCCAAGGTGTTCTGCTCCATGTTATGGATCGGTATGCGCCTAAAAACGAGTGGACCAACTCATAATGCTGCCACGAGGAAGGAGCGCCACCGCTTGGCCCCATATTATTTTTTTCCTGCCTGCAAGGAAAAGTATAGTTGAGTGGATTTCCAATATGTTGTTGCGCGCATATAAGTTACCTGTACATTTTGGTCAGGTTCTCTATTTTCGTTCGGACGTCCTTGTAGGACACATCAAACCCCGCTTCCATTAGGGTCTGGGCCATCTCCATGTATATATGGACATTTTTTCTGGCTCCGCGCAACTCCTCGATGTTCTCCTGCCAAATGTCGATGAGCAGTACCTCCATCTGCTTAGTCCACCTCAGTTTGCCACCGGCAGTTCGCGTAATATTGACTGTAAATTTAAAATCAATGAATTATTACAAAAATAAAGAGCATATGTTCATACCTATTGCTTCGTCGCCTTCCATTTTCAAAAGTTTCCCGTCATCATTGTTTACGTTTTCGTAATAAATGTTTCACTTTCCACTTTTAAGAAGAAGAGTTTAGGGTTTCCACTCAAAATTATCGCCTAACTATCGCATAAAGTAGTCCGTTAAATTTGGATGGGGAACTAACTGGGAAATTTTCCGAACGGCAAAACCTTATGGACCATCCGTTCAACGGATGGTAGATGGTGAATGGATCTCTGTGGGAAGACCCTGTTAAATACTATTTTGTTTGTGTTGCTGTTACCTTTGTTTGTGTTAGTTGATCCTGGAATTTGGTTAATTAAGCGGTTGGTAAGACTTTTTAAATTATCCCAGTTTGTTCTTCTAGTTATAAATCTTTTTGTGTAGTTAAATGTCTGGTTTTCTTGGGCAAAAATGTTTATTGTTATGGGAAATTGGTCACTACCCTGGGGTCCATGATTTTAAAATCTCTTTGAATTTTGAGGTTCGGAGAGCAAAAGGCAAGGTCTATGTGAGTGTATGAATATTGTGTGTAGTTTAATACGAAGTAGTTGTGGCTGTGAATGTAATCTCCGAGGATTCTACCCCTGCGATTGCTTTTGGGAGATTTTTAGAGGCTACTCCTGTGATCAGTGTAGGTGTTGTTAGGTAGGGGTCTGTGGGTTCTATACCGGTCTTGGTATATTTTTGTGAAGGTTGTATGTAGGCTGAAAAGATATTAAGCTTTTATTGGGATTGTATTTCCAATCCAATGGTTTCGAAAACTTGTCCTACAGGGATTGGTTTATGCTGAACTGATTCATAGATCAGTAAAGCAATTCCACTTTTGGCTGAAGCCGATGTTGTGTTATGGATTTTAAAGTAAACTGGGATTGGGAATTGTTGAAAAGGTGGTTTTTGAAGTTTTGCAGGAATGCACTAGATATCCTGAACGTAGACAGTTGTCGCATCGCATTGGGGAAGGTATGTAAGGACGAAATTCGATTCTATCGTATCCAATGTATATGTAGTCTGGCAGGTCTAGTTGTGCGAATATCAATGTGATAAGTCCAGTTTCGGTCGGGTTGCCGCAAATTGCTCTCTTCGTGACTTTTTTTCACTTCAGAGTCCTTTTGGGACCTTAAATTTTCCAGGATTACTTTTTCTTTTATAACTCAAAGATCAGTCTCTAATTAGCATTCGTTGTAGTCAGACGTGTTTTCTTTTCGCTATGAATTCTTATTCGTGCCCCGAGTGCAATGCTGAAGTTACAGAAGCGCAGCTTCGCGGATTTAAGGCGGTTCGTTGCTCATCGCTTTGTCGTCGTACTTTTCACACTGCATGTGTTGATCTCCCGGAGGATGCTATTAGATTATTAACAAATATGCCGAATCTACTCTGGCAGTGTGATCGCTGGGTTGCGAGTAATGATTCATACTCCAAAATCGATGAAGTAATGGAAGAACTTCATGACCTGATGAGTCTATACATGGATTTAAATTCAAAGTTTCTGAAGGCTTTTCCCAATTCTACCACTGACAATAGCAATGTCAGTCAGCGTAAAAAAGTGGTGAAACCATTGGCTCCACCTTCTTCAATTTGTCGTCAATCCAACCTTGCAGACCTGATACCCCCCGCACCAGTTTCTACTGCCGCCAGGAAACATGCAAAGAATAACAGGAACAAGAGGCAAATAGTTGATCAAGCTCCTAATTGTGAACTTCTCGAAGTTGTGCCGAGCAATAAATTCCTTCATATTGGTAGATTCAGAGCGCACGTAAAATCTGATTCTGTGTGTGAATATGTTGCAAATAAGCTAGGTGTGGATACCGCCACCATAATTTGCAAGCCTTTAGTCAAAAATGGTGTAGATGTTGCTACACTGGAATTCGTCAATTTTAAATTAGGAATACCTGAGCAGCACTTTCAGACTGTGTTTAGTGATGCGTTCTGGCCCAATCCAATCAAGATCAGTCGATTCATCCACAGGGATAGGCCGATTGTTGATGGGAACTTTCTGGATTTGCACAATCATCATACATCGGAATCAAAAAACCCCCAATAATCGGCGCCTTTGGTGTCGTTTTGACTACGTCAAATTTTTATGATCCTCTTCCTCATCTTCATGCTACTTATTCGCAATGTCAACGTCCGCTGGCTTCGATATCGCTAACGACTATCATTACTCTCTCATACACCGCTCCCAGTTCACTCTTAAGTATTGAGCACCCGTCACTCACAAATCAAAAACATTATCAGCTGGATTTTTCCTTTCTTGTTCTGTCTAACGTTCATCAAACGCTCACTGGAGAGGCGTTGTCACCAGATTCCGTTAAGATTCCCGCTCTAAGCGCTCTCTTTGGAGATGTGCACTCATCACAATCAAAGCAACATCGGCATCAGCTGGATTTGTCGTTGTCTATTTCACGCGACGTTTGTCAAACGATCTCTGGAGAGCTGCTCTCATCATACTTCATCAAGATTCCCGCTCTAAGCGCGATCTTCGGAGTTGTGCGCTCATCACCGTCAAACAAACAACAACGTCAGCTGGAGTTGTCGTTGTCTGTTTTGCGCGACATTCGTCAAACGTTGTTCGATGAGGCGCTCTCATCATATTCAATCACTCATCTCCCTCTAAGCGCGCTCTCTGGGGATGTGCATGCATCACTATCAAAGCAACAACAACATCAGCTTGAGCTGTCGTTGTCTGTTTCGGACGACGATCGTCAAACGCTCTTTGGAGAGCCGCTCTCATCATACTTCATCAATATTCCTGCTCTAAGCGCGCTCGTCGGAGTTGTGCGCTTATCACAATTGAACCAACAACAACGTCAGCTGGAGTTGTCGTTGTCTGAATTGTGTTACGTTCGTCTAATGCTCACAAAAACCCAACGGCTGGAGCTTTCAAAATTTGCTCTGAGTGATACTCGTGATCACAGTATTATTTCCTTATTACCGCGCTCCTCTCTGACGCTACGAAATTGCTTGAATTTCTCATCGACTGCTTTGTGTGGCTCTTCCCGATGGCAGCATCAACAACAACTTTGTCCATCTCTCCCCAACTTGGATAGATATGCTCTGTTAACGGCGACATTGCCATCGCTCTTAAGAACTAGTTGCTCTTTACTAAAAGTATCTAGCAAACTTAGGGAATGCATCGATCCTAGTCTGCATGAAAAAATTCGTATTAAAACACTACATTACTGAAGGCGATCTGAGGGCCTACAAAATTGGGAACGCATGAACAAATACTTCCTAGGGCATTGGACTATGATGCCTTAAATGCGAATCCGGAAATTGTTGATCGTGCTATTGTGAGTACGGCCCCACTAAAAATTTATTTTCAAAACATCTCCGGAATGCGGACAAAGGCGGAGCAAGTATACCTTTCCACATCCCAATGCGAAATTGACGTTATAGTTTTAGTTGAAACTTGGCTCAACATAAACTTTTACTCAAATTAATTCTTCGACTCCAATTTGTACCATGTGTTCCGCAAAGACAGAGATAGCACGAAAACTCACTGTGCTAGAGGGGGTGGTGTAATTGTTGCTGTTCGCTGCAATTTGCGCTGCTTGTCAATTGGACTTCTCATTGAAGATACCCTTCTTGATCAAGTTGCGGTGTCGATAATTGGAGAATCGGAATCGCTGCAAATTGTGGTGTCATACATACCACCGAATGGTTCATATAAACTTTACAAGACTCGTCTGGAAAACATTACCGACATCTACAATAATCTGCAGGACCATCAACATATCTGTGTGATTGGAGACTTTAATCTATCATCCCTCGTTTGGTCTCAGGATCCGGAGCATCACTCTTCACTGCCAAGCAACATACATCAACCACACGAGATTCTTTTCATCGATGATATTTTCAGTATGGGCTTAATACAAGTCAATAATATATTCAATAACTTAGATACAATTTTAGACTTAGTATTCCTTAGCGCTGATATTAACTTTTCTTTAGTCCAATGTAGTTCACCTATAAGCAATTGTGATATCCATCATAGACCATTGCCACTAGGTATAAACTTTTACAGTTTTGCGCCTTCAGCTGAATATTCACCTAGATTCAGTTCCATCTGCTATGCTTCAGTTCCATCTGCTATGTTCCTAGGGAATTTATCTTCCCATTCAAATACAGAAACTGCAAATCTTTTTGCCTCTTATTTTAAAGCTAATTTTGAGCCAACAGCAGCCTGGAATGATTCTCAAACCTTAAATGCAATCACTCCTCTATTGAATTTAGGTAGTTTAACCGTGCTAGAAGAGAATATTCATAGGGCTGTGGAAGACGTGGATGAATCGTACACTCCGGACTGCGATGGGATTCCGGCCTACTTTCTGAAACATTGTATAGAGGTGCTATGCGTTCCACTAAAAATTCTGTTTGATAAATCACTTTCTAGTGGACACTTTGCGGACAGATAGAAGGTCTCATCCGTGACTCCAATTTTAAAATCAGGGCTGAAGAATAACATTGCCAATTACAGGCCTATAGCAAAGATCAGTAATATCACTAAACTCTTCGAACGCATTGTTGCCCATAAATTATCATTTCTTGTAAAAACATATATAAGCACTTCTTAGCATGGTTTTGATGCAGGTCGGTCAACTACGACTAATCTTGCCGTTTTCAGCAACTATTGCATTCATGCATTCATTTACACTGATTTTGCGAAAGCCTTTGACAAAGTTAGCCACAGTGCCCTACTGGCAAAACTGGCCCGCTTGGGTATACATTCGGGACTACTAAATTGGATAAAATCATATTTACACCATCGACTTTATAGAGTTAATATTAATGGAAAATTCTCGGATTCCTGTTTGGCAACCTCTGGCCTCCCTCAGGGGAGTGCTATGGGACCTCTGCTTTTCATCATTTTCATTAATGATGTGAGGTTCTGTCTATCTTCAGAGTGTCTCCTGTATGCAGATGATTTAAAAATTTTTAAGTCTATTAAATTAGCGACAGACTCACAATTGGTTCAACATGACTTAGTTTCCTTGAGCTCTTGGTGTAGCCGAAACTCGCTTCCTCTTAACATAAGCAAGTGCTTCTATGTCACTTACAGTAAATCCGCATACAATATCGTCACATCTTATAATCTCAATGGTCAACCTCTACAACTGCGGCAGGAATCCTTGGATCTAGGAGTGTTGTTTGACTCAAAACTTAAGTTTGCAGCACACTTCGATTACATCATGCCCAGGGCCTATGCTATGTTTGGATTTGTGAAACGGAACGCATCGCTATTCACGGATCCCTACACCAGACTTGCGCTTTATTTTGCATTTGTCCGAACTAAACTAGAATATGCGTCTCTTATTTGGAATCCCTTCACTACCACTCATGGGAACAGAATAGAACGTCTACAGAAACAGTTTTTGAAATTCGCGTTGTTGCCGCTAAGGTTTTTAGACCCTACCCCTTCATACCACCAGCAATGTAGGCTTGTTCACCAACCATCCCTTGAGCATCGTAGAAGTATCCTCGCCATTTGCTTCATCTCTGATTTGTTGGATGGTAGTATCGACTGTCCAGAACTGCTATCGAAAGTTGGTTTTCACCCCCCGCCTAGGCAACTTCGGAATTTTG